AACATGAGCGTGATGTAAGTCTTCTAATTTATTGTTATCAAGTTAAAAATAACCATATTTTATTTCTATCATGTTCTGCTTTCAGGATGTGATCTGTGGCGTCCTGATCTCTGGCGTCATCTTGTTCCTCACCTACCCGTACTGGGAAACCTTCGACCACTTCCAGCTCAACAGCAGCTTGTCCCCCGTGGTGGCGCTGGGACTCCTCCTCTTCCTCAGCTACACTTACCCAGACCTGGACCACTACAGCACCACGCGGGGGGACACCACCACCATTCTGGGATCGTGTGCCGGGTACTCGGTGGGATACTGGGTCAACAACCAGCTGGGGCAGACTTTTGAGCCCCAGGGGACGCTACCTGTACCCCTACCCACCCTGACCGCTAACGCCCTGGCGCTAGGCACCGGCCGCTTCCTGGTGGGGGTCGTAGCTTTGGTGGGAACTCGACAGGTAGTCAAAGCAGCGAGTCTGCACGTGTTGTATTCATGGTACGGAGTGCCGAAAAGCGACCAGAGCGCCAGGAGAAGGAAAGAGATCGAAGTGCCGTATAAGTTTACCACATACACAGCTGTTGGACTTGTTCACTCGATACTGGCCAACAGAATCTTCGTTCTACTGGGGCTGCTATGACCTGGTGATGATGACCGAAAATGAACCTCATATTTATTTCAATGTGCATCAAATGATCTGTTTTTTTTACATCCATGTTCAATTTCATGTACGACTTCTCACCGGGAATGATTCACAGCAGTGTGCTTGTGGCTGACCTGTGACTGAGCTGAAATGTTCTGCTCACATACCAATAAAGTTTCAATGACTCAACCTGGTTTGAACATGACTTGAAACGTGTAGCAGATGCCGGTTCTCTTTGCACTGTTTTGTATTTCAGAACATAAACACACATGCCAGAAATTTCTCCGTCCAACTTGCCTGTCAAGTCACCATTGGGGAGAACCCCACCTAGAGCCCGACGAGCTCCTACCAGGCTGGGAAATCGGATCAAAACCAGTTTAACTGTAAACTGGCAACTTCATTTCTACAGCACCCGTCTTTGTCCTCTCAGGCAGGTTGGAGCAAGCCATCTGTTGCACCATATTGGCCTGGTTGCTGTGAGCTCGGTGCAGGAGTGAAACAGTTAACCTCTCTTTGCTACAGTGCAGTCTGAAGGAATGCCGGAGCACCTGTCAGACTTCATTTACAAGACGGCTTGTTATCTGCACGCCTCGCTCTCATACGGGAGTCCGCTGGCTGCAACAATTTCTCTTTGAGCTGCCAATAATGCATCAGATGGTGGGGATATGTGGAAGCCTGTGTTCTTGGTACCTGATTAAAAAAACATGAAACACAAAAGAAGGATTCAAAGCACTCAGTCCAAAGTTAGAATGGCTTTATTTGACGTCTGAAGGCGAGAATCTTCTGTAGTTGTATCAAAGCATAAAGAGTCTTTTTAAATGAAGCACCTGAGCGTTAGTTGTTGTACTACATGGACGTTGGGACAGACATGGAACACTGTGTTTCATACATCACCGGGGTTGAGAGATCGAGACCACAAAACGTCAGATGGCACCATTCAGTCAATTATTCTCTGTCGATAAGATTTAGATCTTATTGAAGGCAGCCACATCCACAGATTGAACAAATTCCTCAAAGGCGGTGATGGCTTCCTCCAGCAGGTCCGTACCCACTTTATCATCCTCCACCACGCATCCTATCTGAAGCTTCTTGATGCCGTAGCCCACCGGCACCAGCTTGGACTGCCCCCACAGCAGCCCGTCCATGCTGACACTGCGGACGCACTCCTCCAGCTTGGCCATGTCCGTCTCGTCGTCCCAGGGCTTGACGTCAAGCAGGATGGACGACTTGGCGATGAGCGCTGGCTTCTTGGACTTCTTGGCGGCGTACTCGGCAAGGCGCTGCTCCTTGATTCGAGCTGCCTCTGCGCTCTCGGCCTCGTCGTCTGAGCCAAAAAGGTCCATGTCGTCGTCGTCGTCACTGGCGTTGTTGGTCGAGGCGGGGGCAGCGGCCGGGAGAACAAACTGTCTCTTGGCTGCTGGGAGGGAAGCTGCTTCCCTCTGGAAGGACTTGATGTGGTTGTACCAGCGCCGGAGGTGGCAGAAGGTCAGTGAGGGAGGAGACGGGATGGCATCAAACATGGTCGTGTCAGCTTTGGATGCCACAAAACCCTCCATGTAGCTTTTGTCAGCTAGAAAATCATTGAGCGCTTTGAGACCCACTGGTGTGCTCATGTCACCAAACACAGTTTTTGTGGATGTTGGGCAGGAGAGAGGGGCCTGCTGGGATTCGTCCTGCGTGGGGAACTTGTGCTTGATGACTTCCTGCATGGGGACGTCGTGAGTGAGGAGGGTTTCAGCAGTGTGGCCACTGGAAGAACCAAGGCAACAAAGCAACAGGTAATGAGTCACTGAGTTTAATTACCATGCACTAACCCCAAGGCATAAGTAGTCTAAATTAAGACCAGGCATGCAGGCACAAGCCCACACACAGATGCGCACAATTCACGTCACGAACACAATGGAGTCTTGTTAATATTTAATTCTTCTGACTTTAGGAAAAACAGCCTTGTTACTCATACATAAAACCCAATGGCTCCACAGAGTGATGCAGCACAGTTTCAGTTTCCTCATGCACCAGTAAACAGATCAGACACATCGCACACCTCAGCCACACAAACCAAACACGAGGGCTGCACGACACAGGAAAGCACTGACACTGTGATACGAGTCCTTCTGTGATGAATAGATTTTGTTTTTTGCTCTGGATGACGGTCAGACCTGAACAGTACCTGCTTTTGGTCATCTTTTCCATACAGCTGACTACTGCTGCACCATGATAGCCAAAATGAAAACCGCATTTGTTTTGATCAATATGTAGATCATAAATCACTGATTTTAAAGAATGGATATTTACAGCACTTGCTTTTCACTTCCCTAAAATCTGCTTCTAGAAAAGACTTGAAATAATCTTCTCTTTACCTCCAAGAGAAGAAAATGTGAATAAAACTGCACCCAATCCAGCTCACCTGCAAAACACCACAGTATACTGATAAAAGCCTCACATGCATGCTCGGCAGGTAGATGCTACGTAGGCAGCTGTGCACTGAGAAGCCTCTAGTCTCCACTCAGTTACTGCAGCAACTCGTGTGTGACCAAGGATTACTTTAAAAAGAGGGGAATAAGATGCTTTCTGATTTAGCTGGAAGCAAATGATCTCATCTGCATTTCTGTGAGCAGAGCATTCTACATGTCGGTATTACAGCTGTGTTACTCTACCGTTCCTAGCTCATTTTGCTCTGCATGTCGTGCTGTAGTGCTAACTGTGTCTTGTCTCTTTCAAAACAACAACAACACCAAAAAGAAAAAACGGAGTCTATCCAAAAACCCCTTGATCGCACTAAATTATGTTCCATCATCTGACGTCTGTTGCGGATTAGTCATGGAAAATGAGAACCATGCGAGTTTTCATTTTGCATCCAGCAGCAAAAAAAAAGTTGTAGCAAGATGTGTTTGTGTTAATTTGCCTTACTTCACATCACACTTTGTCCGATTAGGTTGTGCACGAGCACGTGTCAGCGCTGAATCGATGTATCGTGCAGCCCTACAGAATACCCAGCACGTCTTCAGAGCAAATCTCAAGCCTCATGTTTTCTTCATAAATCTCACTGATTTCTGTTTTGATGTGAGAGTATAAACTGCTGGGTATGTTTTTGGTGCTGGTGGTGGTGGTGGGGGAAGGGGGTTAAGGTTTAAGAATGTGAAATCACAGGAAGGGCTCGATGTCCATCTCCATGGCGGAGCAGGGCATGGTCAACTCGAAGCGGCTGACGACGTCCGGGTGAAGGACTCCGAGACGTCCTACGCTCTTTCCCCGGACAAAGATCTCTGCACAGCGCCCGGGGAAAAAGGTGGAATCTGAGAAGGGGGAAAAAAACACAGAGCGACTGTTAGTTTAAGAGCCTCGCTTCCACCTAACTAATATTAGACTTCTTCTACGATCCGCCCACACCTGGCACCAACTTCTCTACCCAGACTTTCAAGGTACTTCACACGCTCTTGTAAGAGTTGCTTCCTTTAGAAAAACAATTATCACCTGCAGTAGCTTGTTGGCAACCTGTGCATATGCTGACAAACTATACTGGACCAGCGTGTTACTATCTAACACGGCATCTGCGTGACATGGGTGTTCCTTGGATTGTGTTTCAGCTACTTCACACAGTTACTACATGTCCACTTTAGTGCTTTATTTTTCTTCTAGTACCAGCGACATGCTTGTTGCACATCACATCGCTGGGATCATGAGTCACTTTGCACAGCGTGGGTGATACGCTGCTGCCTTCCTCGATCATTTGTTCTCCCACATTCATTAATCACTGATCACAAAAAAGGCACCGCTTCCTGTGCGCCGGATACTTCTCTCCAAGGAAAGCCCTTTCGTGAGTGAGGGGAAAAAAAAAAAAAACACAATTCTTTTGACGGACCGGGTTTGTGCTGGATCGTTATTGTTTAATATCAATCACTGACGGAGCAGAAAACGGAACAGCGTTTATGTGAAAATGTCGCAGGTCATTACTCTAAACCCTCCATCTCCGGAGGCTATTTGACCATAATTGGATTTTCTGTCTCGATCACTTTCACACAAACACACACATTCCTCCTCCTGATTAGAGTGTGTAAGTGTGTCGGTATCAGGAGTAAAGGTCACCTCGCTCCGGCTGGATGAAAAGCCTCCATCGATACCGTCATGAAAACGCTCTTCTTGTCCGTGTGAGAGGCGTTTGCTCACTTTGTTGAAAAAAAAAAAAAAACAACACTGACATGCAAACGGACAGAAAGACGGACTTGTTGGGGAGAGATAACAAGATACAGGGGTTGCTATGACAACAGCCCCACACACACACACACACACACACACACACACACAGAGACAAACACACACAGACATGGCATTCTCCCATAGTGCACCACTTCTTCCCACGCTGCCTTGCTAATGGGTTCCAGAGCCCACTGCTTAGATGTTCACTCGTCACTACGGATGACGGCTCGCAAGACGGCACACATCAAACCCCCGTGTGTGTGTGTGTGTGTGTGTCTGTGTGTGTGTGTGTGTGTGTGTGTGTGTGTGTGTGTGTGTGTGTGTGTGTGCTAAGAGGCGGCTGAAACGGGGAAATTCTACCTTTTTGCTTCAGCCGCTCGCTGCCCGCCTGTTATAAATACATAATAAATTGGTGGAATTCGCTTGCGTCGGTTCACACGTCATCTACTTGCACCGTTAGCGGGATGCCATGGCAACTATATAAATAGCTCCGGTACATCTTAAATAACCAATCAGTCAATGAAAATCCTACACTTGAGCCAGGCCACTTTCCGCCCACTCGCCTCCAACTTTCAGCAGAGCTTTCGGCAGAAGGGAGAGTTGCACCGATGCATCATCGCCGGCACAACTGGCTGATTTTTTTTATTTTTTTTGGCCAAAGGATGTTTCACTATTTTAACTGGAATTTATGCAACTTCCTAATGAAGCTAGAAACGCCCACAGTGGCACGAAGGCAAGCAGCTGCTAGCACACTAATATTACCACTACTACTACTAACAACGCTTTAAAGGATGATGAACACGAGCTTCGTGGTGTTGTGTGTTGTTTCCATGCATCACAGAGCTACCTGTTGGGAAAAATGCTGAAATGTGTAGAAAATTTTACATAATCTTGTCTGATTCCGGGTTTTTTTTATTTTACTTTTAGCCATCTTTTCTGCTAATTAGAAGAAAGTTGTCCTTACACAATTAGTTTCTGAGATATTGTGATAACGTCTCTACAATAAAGTCAATTAGGGGAAACAAAAGCAGACAATCCAACAGGTAAAGGTAGGGATATTCACACATTTAATCAGAATGCCAGAACCAGCATGTCTGCGGTGTGCTCCTCCTCAGTGCTGACGCTGTTTTAACATGTTTTCCGTTTTACTGCACTTTGATTTGTAGGAGAAAACTATTTGTGGCGTTATTTTTAAAAGCATCCTTTGTTTTATTTTAACTTTAAGTGTCTAAAAAAAGACTACACTGTTTAATAAAGCAGCTGGGAACTGTAGTTTTTGAGCTAATGTTACTAAAACAGGGAATTGTAGGAGAACCATTTTCAGTTTTAGATGCATGTACATTAGATGGTCTCAGTATTTGTGGCAGCAGGATGGTTTATGTTGCATTGACGCACAAACTGCAGAGCCCACGTTCGTCGTAACATCGTCAGGTATGAGCCTATTTCTGCTGCTGCCACCTTCCATGTGGCTTTATCCTCCATTTCTACTATCTGTGTGCTTTCAAAATCCAGTGTACGACTGAAGACAACAAAAACAATCTTCAGTGAATGAGCCATCGTGATGACAGCGCTCACCGGCAAACCCTCCACCAGAACTAGTTCCCTCGTCACCGTTTTGCAGGAGCGCCTTCGCTGCATCCTGGGCTCAGCTGTGCCGACTGTGATTGGTTTAAGGAATTACAAACAAGCCTGATCGGTTTCCCCCCTATAGCTGAATAACAATCAGGTTCAGCCTCAAACAGCAACAGCGCTGTGAGATGGGTCCGGCTTGGCCACACAAACGGCTTCATGACGACAATTAAGCTCTATGGTATCGAGAAATAAGATAGATAGGCTTTAAAACAAAGCAGACAATATCTGTCAGCACGATTAGTTCATTTTTTAACAACGGTTTAGCCAGATTAGAAACATCTCTTTGTTCTGAGGGAGACCAAAACCAGAAAGTTCCAACATATTAGTACTAATTCCTCTTTGCACAAGAAGGCAGTGTGTTCAGGGTCAGTGCTGAAGGAGGAAGCTGCTCTGTGGTGTGTGTGTTTACAACAGACAGTCTGGATTACTGTATTTGTGTCCTCTTTGATTTTCACCTCCAAGTGAGTTTGGACTATCTGGAGTTTGATTAAAACAAGCCTAACTAGGTTCCCTTCTCTGCTGGACTTCTTTACAGCAATGTCACCTTGTCTCCTGACGCATAAACAGAAATAATGGTCGAGACTTATGCTGAAAAATAACCAGAATTATCCTTGAAATCGGCCTTCGTGTCTCGTCAAACTGCAGCTTCTTCTCTAACCATCAGTACAACCTTTAAAAATGCAAACCCTGAACACTCAAGGTCAAAAACTGAAGAGAAGAAGTCACATGATCGCGGTGTCTTCCCTAACAAATGGGCCGAGACCTCGCATTGGACACAGTTGTTAAGCGAAACGTGGGCATCTGTCTCCTAAGTGTGTTTTCCTTCCACTTCTGATCCCCTGACTCGTCATTTCATCGCTTTCCCTCGCTGAGTGGCGGAAGCTCAGCTGACATGTATTCCCTGGGAGAGCTGGTGAGGTAGCCGGAGCCCTGCTTCAGCCTGCTGATGGATACATCCTGAGGATGCGAGTCTGTGTCAGGTGAGCTCTCAGACTGGGTCACGACCTTGTAATGGGGTTAAGGACACGCTGACATATGCGAGGGGGGATTAAGCTAATGGTGCAGAGAGTGTGGGAGCAGAGAGGACAGACCGAGTGGGAGGCTGAGTGTGTCCAGTATGGTGTGCATTAGAGCGCACCGTGAGACGATGTCCATTTCAGGCTCCCTTTTAAGCGTGTGTTTGCGCCTGTCAGATGGCCAGTCCGAGCGCCCGTGGGTGGACGTGCTGTATGTGCCAGTCTGTGTTGCTGCTCGGCACTGCAGTGGGTGACGTGACTCCCATGCACTCTCCCACACTGCAGACTTTACACAGTCTCAGACTCTTTTCTTGCTTACGCCTCTAGCCGTCGCCCCCCCACCCCGGACTCTCTCCCTCTCTTTTTTTTGCACTCTCTAGTCTTATCTCATCCACTCTTCCTCCCCTCTGCCTGCTCTCCTCTCTCTCCCTGCTCTCATCTCTCATTCACCGATACTTGAGCCCATTGATTTGCAGTCTGAATGGGCCAGCAGAGGCAGAGCAGATATCCTACAGTGTGACCTTGGAGCATGCAAGCCAAGGTGAGAGGGGAAGAAGAGGTGGGTGGAGAGGGAGCCAGGATGGAGCAGGGAGAAGCGAGTGAGCAATCCAAAAATGATGCTTGAGAGTCTCTCTGGGAAAACAGAGCACACAGATTGGCCCCGAGAAAGACAATGAAGTCCAACCTGTCTGATTGCTAATCCCACAGCAACAGAGCGGCGGTCCGAGCCGACTGAGTCACACATCTATCTGCCATGTAAGCACAACTTCATCGTAAACATTGTTGTGCCTGCCTTGTCGCCCCTGCTTAATGTGGCTGACTGTGAAAAACAAAATTCATTTGCACAGTTTACGGGTTTGATGTCCTCTTTCAGCGAGCAAAACAGCCCTTCACAATAAAAGACTTGGATTGCAGCACGAGTTGCTTAATTCATCTCATTCACGCCGACTTAAGAGAGAGAGAGCCCTTTGAAACTTGTACTCAGATGCATTTCATCACCAGAGACACAGTGAAGTCGTGTTCTTGGCCCACAGTCTATAAAACACTAATGCTGACGTGACACCTTTGATTTCTATTGAGCCGAACGATGACAGGAACATTTTACGTCAGCGCTATTCGGTTTCCCTCATCGGCCGAATGAGAGAGAACAGAGTTGTCCTCATTTATTAGGGTGAGATGATGCAATTGGAGGCAGAACAAAAGATAAATTAAAGGCGAGAGACTGAGAGTTGTTGTGCGTGAAAACTAATAAGCAAGTTTTCCCCACAGATGTTTCATTTCATTCAGAGCGGCTGCAAAGTAAAATAACACCTGTTACTCCTCGGTTTTGGTAATTTCGTTCAGGATGTCACAAGAACTGATACTTCCGAAGTAAGCTGATGCTAAAAATTCTGAAAACCTGACGTGGTTCTAGTTTTTCTGGAGCTCGATCTGAACCCAGAATTCAAGGTGAGAGAATTTCATCAACTATTTGGCGCAGTGTCGAAGTGTCGGCTGCAACGCTCCACACATGAGGAGTATTGGCACAGACTACCAACATCCATCCATCATCTCTACACCTTAATCCTCACCAGGGTCATGGGGGGCGGAGCCTATCTCAGCTGACTCAGAGTGAAGGCAGGTTCACCTGGACAGGTAACCAGTCTATCACAGGGCTACACTTAGAGACAGACAACCAAGCACACTCACATTCACACCTACGGACAATTTACAATCACCAATTAACCTCAGCATGTTTCTGGACTGTGGGAGGAAGCCGGAGAACCCGGAGAGAACCCACGCTGCACGGGGAGAACATGGAGACTCCATGCAGGAAGATCCCGGGTGTCCTCACCGGGATGTAACGATGCTAACCACCGCGCCACCTCACAGCCCTACCGACAATCAAACAAAACTTTCCTGTGTATACCACACTGTGCAGTTGCTGAGTACAGCTTATTTTACCCCATAAAGTTGCACATTGCTTTTCTGATTTCCCCCAAGACGTCATCCATTTCTCAGGCACCTCCTGTCTTAAACTTTAAGGCGGCAGCGTGTCCCATCAGGACTGCTGATCACCTGAAAAGTTCACACTATTGAAATTGCAATAGAGCCAAGTGTAGCACCCAAATCACAGGAGCTGCAGTTTTCTGATAAAGGCGTCACAACACGCCGTTATAAATGAAGCGTCGTGGTGCTGCAGAGGCACCTCGGCCCTCGTGTTCTCTGGATGTACGGGAATGTGCTTGTTTGGCATAAAACCGCGGAAAAAGTGGAGTCATCATTTAGACTGTTTTTCAGTGGAGGAGAAATTTCACTATTTTACAAATAAAGTTTGTATTCATTATTATTATTGTTATTATTTTGGTTTTACGGGCCACACCAGTCTCTGATCCTGTCAATAACTACACTAATATCAACTATTATTGTCATTTGTGTCGCACAGTTCATGCAGCAAGGGAAGGAAAAAATTCAAGTAAAAATATAAACAACAACAGTAATAAAATGTTATTGTTATAAATAATAATAAAGTTCATTCCAAAAGTAATAAATAGGTTTGAGACGAGTAATTTAATTAAAAGCTACATGAGAAATAAGAGTGTAAATATCAGTTCTAAGGTTTTGTTTGTAGACATCAACTGAATCAGAGCCTCTTCGTACATCTTAGTTCTACTCTCGAGAACGTTAAAGACACCATGACTAGAGGATCTTAGGGGCATATTTACCTACTATGTCAGATAAATATTCATTCCAAACTAATTTCTATAACTTTCCACACCGACGGTCCGACGGTCCCCTCCTCCATAACGTGAATAACGGGTTGTGTGGAGCTGAGGAAGAATCCACGGTTTGGATTTCTCTCTCAACACAACTATTTCTGTCGTTTTTTACGTAAACAACAAGTGCAACACATTCCAGCAGAGAGCGGCTGAAAATACACGTCCATATTTAGACAGCATCGTATCTCCTTCCCTTCGACGACGCTCAGCTTTCCTCTGCACCTTCGAATGTTGACGCTCTCGGACCAAACTGGGTCACTTCAATCAGAAGCATCTTACTGCTGTAGTTTTCAGTCAAAGTTCTGGCTAGTTGGCTTTTTGTCTGTTTCCTATATCTGTCTGGATTGAAGAGCAAAGTGAAGGAGACAATATCAGATAAGAAGAGGAGAGAGCAGATGGAGAGGAAGGAAGACGGGGAAGGATGAGTGGATACACTGCATGCTTTATGTCGTTTAATCTGTTTAAAGTCGTGCTGGGGGAAGATGTACTGTGTGCATTTGGGGTGTTTATACTGTTATGCTTGGGTCCTGGGAGCTCTTTTGATTTACTGACAGTTTATCCAATGGGGATATTTATGGATGGAAAAGCCAGATGTGCAGACGGTTACTGGCAGAGCAAACAACATATAGAATTGGCTTTAATCATTAATTTACCACTGTTTAAACTTTTCTACCGAGGGGCAATATGGAGTTGTAAAGTCATAACGATCTACGTCAACGGTTGTGTTTCTTCTCTGTATATCCGTCGTGTAGCTCTATTCTAACGTAGCCACCCACGTTGCAAGCCAACTTTAAGTTTAGGCAAACTTGTCCATGTCACTGTCATGGTAACTGTGCCCCCTCAGTAAAGCAGGGTACGCGACGCCCTGTCACCACACGGCAACGTACTCACCGCTAGTCACAGGCGGGATTTACATAATCTCAACAAAACCTGCCTTTCACCCTCACGTGGCCCAGATTTATTTGTTCACCAGCTTGTACATAAACATGTTCCTAATCACATGG